ATAATGAATCTTAAAATTAAAAAAAAAAAAAATAATAATAATAATAAATTGTTATGTTACAAACTTTGTGCATTTTTTGATCGCCCTTCTCCTTCAAGAATCTCTTTGATTAAGTTTGCGATTTTTACGGCTGGACCTCTTTTTAGGCCATCACTAATAAGTACTTCTTCGGTTAATAAAAGAAAGGCCGGGCCATCAATCTCTTGTGAGTGGAAGAATTTGAAATGATCTTCCTTCAAGTTTAAGCACAATTTTGGATTTTTCAAAAAATTGATAAGGGTATCTGGAGTATCCCATTTTCTGATTTCTTCGACCGATGGAAGGAGATTTTCTCGTGAAGATAAAATACTCTTGGGATTTATTTTAGTCATCAAGTTTTCAAAATTAAAAGTACGACTTGTGTAAATAGCTCCAGGATGTATTTTTTTATTCCTCTTTAAGAAATTCTTTTTTTGTGATTTATAAGCAATATTTAGTGCATGCATACATTTTGGATCTTTTTCCCATTTTGAAATGATCTCAAAGATCTCATATGCTGATGGCCGTTTACTAAAATCTGCATCAACACAACATTTGTAAAGCTTGGAATAACAGTCCGATGTCCATGTAGGAAGTTCAGGTCTTAAACCTTGACAAATTGCACTTGCTAAAGTATTATCATGTGGACGGTCGTTAAAAGGAAGATCGCAACATTCGAGCAGCCACATAAGAATACCAAAGGCATAAATATCTGCAGCCTAAAAGAATTGATTCAACATTTCATAAATTTACAGAATAGGAACTAAACAACAACAAAAAGATAATACCTGGGTATATGGTTTTCCTCTGATAACTTCAGGTGCAATGTAGGGCAGAACACCAGAAACCTTACCAAGACAATTGACATTATCTTTATTGATCGAGAGACCATAGTCTGTCAATGCACAGGTCAAGAAACGAGTTCCATCACACGCAATTTGAGATCCAATTAAGACATTTCCGCTGTGGATATTGCGATGGATCAAATTTTGAACGTGCAGTGCTTTTAAGTAGTTTACCAGATATACAAGAATTTTTATTTTGGTATCGACAGAAGGGTTTGGATTTTTTTGAAGATAATATAACAAGTCCCTGTTTTCAGCGTAATTCATAACTAAGCAATATTTTCCGGTAGCTTCGACGCGTGATATACCAATAGGTCTGATTTGCGACACGTAGAGTTGAAAAGGCGAAGCTGCAGCCTTGAGCTAAAGATAAATGTAAAATGTTAAATAATTGATCCCCGAAAAGGGAAATTGTATCTGAAACAAATACCTCGTTCCGAAAATCTTGCTCAGAATCAAATGTTTTAATCGCAACTTTCAATTCTTCAAAGACGGGTGTAACCATGTGAGTAATTATATGCATTTCAAGTTCTTTGAACTTTGCGCCTATCCACTTGGCAGAATGAACTGTTCCGTAGCCTCCTTTGGCAATTTTGACCCAGTCTTTAATCAGATAAGGTGGTATCCACCTCAAACAAGGATCATTAAATCCAGTTACTTCGTGTTGCGTATCTTTAATTATTTTGTCGTACTCTGAATTACCACTGGTCCACCCTTCCATCAACTGCTTACGGTCACAATCATTGCACCACCACGACGAATTCATTGGATAAGAACGGTTGCAAGTAGGACAAAAGCTGGCGTGTACCAATGCGTATTG